TCTGTTTGGTAAATAAGGGATAAAAGAAAAAAAAAAAAAGTAGAGTCTGGCCGATAGAGAGGGGGTAGCAGTACAAGCGAAGCGACCCAAAATATCGAAATGTGTATCCTTAGGTGTTTCGGTGTTGTTCTCACGCAGGCATTGCCATCTCGACTTACCACCGACTATACGAGGATCATCCTCGATGGACGTCATGGAGGCAACGGAGGTCCCACCTCCATGAGGCACGCGTCGAGAAGAAGAATTTAGTAGAAGTCCTCCAGTGGTCAGCTCCGGTACCACTGGGCTCGCTCGTTTCAGGTCTGTTAGCGCACACAATACGATACACCAATGTTAATTCGATTCACGCTACACGCCCAAGTCAGCATACGTTTCCGGACATTCTCGTATTAAGAAGTGGGAAGGCGAAGAGAAAGGAGGAACAGAGAACGAGAAGAACGAGAAGCAGGATCGTCAAGACTGTGAGACTTGCACACATGAAGGAAATGAGAGGAAGTGAGAAATTCTAACGAAACGATATCAGAACGACAAGAGAACGACAAGGAGAAAATAGAAGACTAACTCTAGGAGGCATAGTTCGAGAGAAGGACGAGTCAGTCGGATCAAGCTATGTATTCCACCCACGATGCATGCCGCAAGCGAAAACAAAAGTAAGAAGCTACGATGAACCATCGGGGGAATCAGCGACGCATACTACTCACCGTTCTTGATCTTTGTCGTGTCCGTGATGAAGGAAGCTAGTTGCATCTGCTCTTGCCAGGTTGGCTTATGAAGGCTATCCGTATCGCTGCCTGCAGCGTTTCCGCCGACTGGGTTAGCGAGGGTTAAGGACGGAGGGGGCACAGGTGTGCTGCGGTTTAGGTTTCTCAAATAATCTGGCGGGAAATTCTCTAGCTCGTCGCCGGCACTGCCATAACTGCGCAGCGTGTCTAGATTATTTAGCGCCACTGCTGCCGAGTTACCATACGCGGCTGGTTCGTTGTTCGAGCTGGGAGTGTAGGAAGCGGGTCTAGGAGGGCATTGGGGAGGTTCTCTCTGCAAAAAAAGAATCACACGAAAAACCTTAAACTCGATGCACGCATCATTCGCAGGAGAGGGATTACTGGCTGATGATTGCAAATCAAAAAAGAAGAACGCCATTGAAAAAGAGAGAAGACGAAAATTAAACAAAAAAAAAAAAA